TGGGAGAGGGAGAAGCAGGCTTCCCGCGGAGCAGGGAGCCCGATGCGGGGCTCGATCCCAGGACCCTGGGGCCATGACCCAAGCCGAAGGCAGACGCTGAACGACTGAGCCACCCAGGCGCCCCTACAAAATGTTTTTTATTATTATGTTTACCTTTTCTGTTGCTGTTTTTGGGTTTCCAGGCTTGGTTAAAGTCCCTCATGCCTTTTGATGGCGCATGTAAACTACATTTTCTTACAAGATTTTATAGTTTACAATTTTGCCTTTAATCCAACCAGAATTTATTTTTTTAAATATTATAAAATATAGAATTCATTCTAGTTTCTTCCCAATTACACCAACAGTATTTATTAAATAATTCAGCCTTTCCTCAGTGAATTGAATTATCATATTTGCCATATATTAAATTTTCATTTATACTGTATCTATTTCTAAATTTTTAAATTTTGTTCCTTCCCTGGTACAATTTGTATCTAATTTTATATTAGCTTTATAGTATATTCCAATATTGAGTAGGTGAGTTTTCCCACACTGTTGTTCTCTCTCTGTTCTAATGCTTTTCATGGCTATTTCCTCATATTTATTCTTCCATACAAATTTTATGATCCAATTAAAATTAAAATATTGTATGGAATTAAATTTACAAAATAATTTTAGGAAATTTGACATTTAACGATACATTATCTATTGAGGAAATCTTTTCATTTGTTTCATTATGTCTTATATTTTTAAAGATTGCCTTGCCAAATTTGATTTATGAGCATTTTATTTAAAATTTCTGAACCTATAAAATGTAATTACTCTATTGGTTTGCTTTTTTTTTAAAGATTTTATTTATTTATTTGACAGAGAGAGAGAGCACAAGCAGGGGGAGTGGCAGGCAGAGGCTGAGGGAGAAGCAGGCTCCCCGCAGAGCAGGGGGAGCCCGATGTGGGGCTAGATCCCAGGACCCTGGGATCATGACCTGAGCCGAAGGCAGTCGCTTAATCAATTGAGCCACCCAGGCACCCTATTGGTTTGCTTTTTGTATTTGTATAACTATGCTGGATTTGTGAAACCACTGTGAAGAGTTTGTTTTTATGTATTTTGGAATAGTTTGGTAAGCATAGGGATTATCTGTGATTTGAAGGTTAGAGAGAATTTAGCTGTAACATTGTCCAGACTTGTTGCTTTTGTCATTATTTGAAAACAATTTTATTATGAAAAATATCAAATATATACAAAAGTAGAGAAAATAGTATACTGAATCCTATGTACCTACCACCTAGCTTTGACAATTATCTCCAGAATTTTCCATTCTTGTTTCATCCATCTTCCCACTTTTATTTTGCTGGACTATTTTAAAGCAAATCTCAGGGGAGGAGGTGGCCATGTGGTTAAGGTGATGGACTGCTAAAGCAAATCTCAGATTTCTTATCAGGTCATCTGTAAGTAGCTCACTCTGTTTCTCTAACAGATAAGGTCCATTTTTTTTTTTTTAAACAGCCACCTCATCATACCTAAAAAAAAATTTCCTGATTGTTTAAAAAATAACCTTTTGGGGCACCTGGGTGGCTCAGTTGGTTAAGCATATGCCTTCGACTCAGGTCATGATCCCAGGGTCCTGGGATCCAGCCCCACGTCAGGCTCCCTGTTCAGCAGGGAGTCTGCTTCTCCCTCTCTCTCTGACACTCCATCTGCTCATTCTCTCTCTCTCTTTCTCCCCCTCCTCCCCGTGAGAGCATGTGCACGTGCATGCGTGCCCTCTCAAATAAATAAATAAAATCTTAAAAGATATCCTTTTACTTTTGGTTTGTTTGAATCAGAATCCAAAAGACATCTAGTGCATTGCATTTTTGTTGTTCTGTCTCCTGATTCTCTCTTAATTTAGAAAAGTTCTCTCTTATCTCCTCCCACTCTGCCCTCCCTGTGCCATTTATTTGTTGAAAAATCAGGTTGTTTGTCCTACAGTATATTCTAGATCTGGATTTGGTTAGTTGTTTCCTTGTAGTGTTACTTAACTTGTTCCTCTTTTTTTTCCTTTTTTTTGTAGACTGAAAGTTAAAAATCTTGATTATGTTTAAGTTAAATTATTTTGGGGGTGCCTGAATGGCTCAGTCGGTTACGCGTCTGACTCTTGGTTGTCCACTCAGGTTGTGATCTGGTGGTCTTGAGCTAGAGCCCCTTGTCGGACTCCACACTCAGCAGGGAGTCTGCTTGAGATTCTCTCTCCCTCTCCCTCTGCCCCTTCTGCTCATGTTCTCTCTCTCTCTCTAAAAATAAATAAATCTTTAAAAAAATAAGTTAAATTACTTTTTTGTTGAGGATTCTTCATAGATGGTGTGGTATACTTCATACTGTACCACATCATGATTGCCCTTAAGGTCTGATTGTCCCATTTATAATGATACTGAGATTGATGGTTGAATTCAGGTATTACCAGGCTAATCCATTCATTATAAAGTTCACCATCAGACTTTCACCTAATAATTTTAGCAGCCATTAATAAACTTTCCTTACATCATTGTTTCATTAGGATTTAATAAAATGGGTGATTTTTTTTTTCTACCATTCTTTCTGCCTGATAGCTGAAATTCCTCAACAAAGAAGAATCTTGTCTTATCAGCTATTTAGTTACACTGACATACAGCTCATATAGGAAGGGCAGGCTGCTGTCCTTTTATAAATGGTAGATTTAACTTCCCCAATATTTCCAATGATACTGGTATTTGGGGTTTTAAAAAACCTTTAGTCATTTGTATTTTGCTAGAAAAAATTTCTTCCCTCTAGATTTTCACTTTATTACTATAGAATGCACAAAGCATTCTTGTATAATTCTTTTGACGTCTATCATATCTCCTTTTCCTTTTTTAAATTTTTTAAAGATTTTATTTATTTATTTGACAGAGAGAGAGAGGGAGAGAGAGTACAAGCAGGGGGAGCAGGAGAGGGAGAAGCAGGCTTCCCGCTGAGCAGGGAGCCCGATGCGGGGCTCGATC